TGAACTATATTTGGTTACTAAGATTTTTATCTCACCCGTGGTTATTTACATTTTTTAGGTTCTAGTATTAGTGGGTCAAAGAGAAAGGATATAGGCTGAGTTGATATCTCTTATCTGAAACTCTATAAGATATGGTGTAATGATTTGTAAATTATTAGCCAAAGTATGTATAAGTTGCCTTAAGACTTAAACATGTGCATAATGTGGTAAATGTTGTGTTTTTGTGATTTTTAAACTCCCTAGCCCAGGTATATGTGTGAAAGATGAAATGACTAGAAGGGCTAGTGGATGGATGTAATTATGTGTGAATATAAAATGGGTGGAGGTTATATATAGTGTTTTAGCCATATATTAGATTAAAGAAATGAAATGTGAATTTGGCCCAAAAAGGAGAACTAGATAATTTGTAGGCCAAATTTGTGTATGGACATTGTATTGTGCATATATATGGACAATTAGGTGTGTTATGTCTATTTGGATGTGGTTAAGGCCCAAAAAGTGGCTAATGATATTTGATTTCTGATTGAGACAGTTAAGTGATAAAAATTTGATAGAAAATGGTCAAAGTTTACTTTAGTGTCTAATTTTTGCTAGAAATATTGAATTGGGATGATATTAGTGTCATTAGTTAGATTTTGAAACAAGCTTCACGTGGATGCTTGAACTATCCCAATTGGACTTCGTATGTGGAAATGGCGCATATCTGAATTTTGTATCAGAAACTGCCATTTGATAGCAAATTCAGGTGTGTGCGCCACAACGTATGCACTCGCATGCCGCAACGCACGGCACATAGCAAGCGACTATGGCCTCTATGCCACATGCTGCTGCACATGTGGCATGAGCCACGCCGCACGATGCCAATTTTACTTTTTTTTTTTTTGTGATGCATATGTTTTCTAGATCTTTGTTGCACAACACTTTATTGCTTCCACTGTATATAGTAAGATTTATTCTTGTGTAAATTATATAAAGATTTCTAAAAATATTTTATTGGGATCCCAATATTTTCAATCTTAGGTTCTAGTATAAATCTTGTATGTATTATCTTTTCCTTCCTTGCTCAAGTATTTTTAACTCCTTAAGTTTTCAAGAAATTTTTAGTGTCATCTAATTTACCCCCTCTTGAGTTCCAGCCTATCTAACACATATCATGTGTTAGACCCATTGTAACCAATGCTAGAATTAGTTAGAGCTAAAATGTCAAGTTTTCACTTTTACTACATAGACAAATCACACATGAAACATGCTATGTCACAAGCATGAAACATCTACATAAACTGATGAACTAATAAATGATATGTGAAGAGCCCTTTCACCATGTGTGACCAACTCATGGCTATATAAACCTCTCATATCAATTTTTCCAAATCACTAAAAACTGACTATTACTCTCTCAATCTCTCTTAACTTCTTTTTTTATTCTTCTCTGGCTGTTATAGTGTTTGAATTCAATTACAAATCCTTTTTAAACACTATTTTTCACCTTAGATTCATCCAAACACTTCTTGATCCTCAACCTAATCTTTCTTTCCTATCATTATGAGATGGCTTGTACCAAAGACACTGGAAGGAAACAAAGCACAGAGGTGACCAAGAAGCAAAAATTTACTAAAGCTTTGATTCAAGAAGGCAGTAAATCACAAGCCAATCATCTAAACACAACAGAACTCCAAGGATCATAAAAGAGCCTACGACACCATCTAAACCAATATCATCTAGTTAGTAAGAAGATGCACTGATAAGGCTGTCAAAAGAGTTATCTAAGGATGGTAGCAATGCACCTCCTAGTGATTTCTCTGAAGCAAGTCTTCAAGAAGGAAAGTTACTCAGTATTGAATATCAAACATGCTATAATTAGTGCTTTTCTTCTAGAGTGGTGGTGATTGGACACTTCACTAAGTATGACTCTTTTATCAAAGCTCACAACTTTGATATAGATTAATACTTGAGCAATTACAAAGGTGTAACATCATAAATTTCAATCCTAAGAACTAGTTGCTAAGCAAGGGTAAATTAGTAATTAGGGAATTGATTGTGATTTGGATGTTGAGTTAATGTTTTGTGTCGATTGGTTGTTGTAATAATAGAATTGAAGGGTAGAAAAGTAATCCGAGACAAAACACGTGAGCACAAGTGTGAATTTTCTTACTATGCCACGTACCGCAGTAAAAGCTGTATGCGTTGCGGCACACTGTCCAGGAATCACTTAAAGCTAATGTGAACAGCTCATGAAATCAAAAGTAGAAGTGTGAAAAACTCATCTGGAGGGATGGAGACATTCAGCTCTGCTAGGGCAAGCATTATTTGGAGCTCGAGAATTTGCTTCAATTAGTAACTTGCTGGGTAAGTATCGTGCAATCCCAAGCTTCAATTCTATCCCTTTTCATTAAATTTCATCAATTAAAAAATCAAATCATGAGATTATGAGGTATTGTAATCTAAAAGAAGTATTAGAAACAAACTATCAAATGCAGAACTAAGGTTTTGTGACTAATATGGAGTTAAATGGTTGAGCTTTAAGAATTTAAGCTCAAAATAGCCAAAAGTTAGGTTAAATGGAAAATTCAGGTAAATGAGTAGATTAGGAGGTTATTATGGTTGTTTGAGTAGCTTATAAGGCTAATGACTATAAATAATGGATAAGTGAATTGAAAATGGTTCAATTAAACTGTTTTATGCGTTAAGGGATTCGATTTAGTCGAATTAATGCCTATGAAATGTGTTGAGAATTAATTAAGGGGCATTGTTTTATGTAGATTGAGCACATGTGAAGTTGCTTGTGAGAATCTGCACCCCTAAGAGCTTAGTGTGGTTGGTAATCCTTAGTAGCAAAGGTTAAAGGTAACTAAAGTAACTCTTTTACTTTTTTATTTGTGAAATTATTTGTAAATATTTTGATATAACTACGTGCATTGTATTGTGAACTGATATAGTAGCAACATTGTGAAAGTATATGCATGTGAGTATATGAGTATTAATTAAAATGAATTTGAGATGGCACGTGCACTGACATGCATCGCATCCATGAGATATACCTTGGATTATGGTAGAGGGAAATGCGGCCCTACCGTGAGGAGGTCTAGGAAGTCCCTAAACTTTGACTCATTGCAACTCAGTCTCTAAACTTTTGATTTGGTTTTAACTCAATCCTTAAACTTTGACTCTTACAACTCAGTCCTTATATTTTTAATCATTTAAGTATTAGTCCCTATATCTTAAAAAATAAATTATAAAGATTAAAATTATATTAAAATTTACTACTAATATTTTAAATTAATAAACTCTTTTAATCTTTATAAATATTAAATATTCAAAGTTTAAAAATATTTTTTATCTTTACAATTTTTTTTTAAAATATAAAAATTAATATTTAAATGATTGAAACTATATGGATTGAGTTGCAAAAGGCAAAATTCAAAGATTGAGTTACAAAAAAGTTAAAATTATAAAAATTGAGTTAAAATGAGTCAAACTTTAGAGACTGAATTACAGTTGGATTAAAACTATAAGGATTAAATGATTACTTTTTCTCATAATTAATTTATCTTGATCAAGATTTTTCACAAATTCATATTCTATTTCATTAAATTATAATCCTATGTGCATTTATACCTTGGAAATCATAAATTAAGTTACCCAAAATCTCAATTTACTTTAATAATAGTTCATAATTTTGATATTTAAAAAAAATAAATTCAAAGTTTAAAAATATCAAAGATTTAATAAGGAGAGAATGAAAAATGAAAAAATTTGAGCAGTGAAATAATATTGTCGAGAAGTAATTTTAAAGTAAGTTTCATTGATAAATTTTTTTCTCAAAATATTTTATATTATGAATTTTATATTTTATTAAGATTTAAAATTTCATAAAAATCTATCATGTTTGGTTGATACCTACTTATGTATGCTACGTTCCCCAATGGCGAGTGAGCACGGCTAACCTATGGGAATTTTCCAGAAACTACTACTAGTAAATTTTGAAAATGCCACATAGAGTAGGGAAGAAAAGATTCCAGCTACAAATATATATGTGGTAGTGAGTCTATACCCAACCATAGAAGAAATAAGTAAGGTGACACAAATAATTTCAGTTGTCCCTTTAAAAATTTCAACTGCCCCCGTCATTTTAAAAAAAAATACCTTTTCCCTTATATAATTTCATTTATCCCATTATAAAAATTAATAACCTAAAATGTTATCTATGTACTGTAACCTGAAATAACTATAAAATTTTAGAATGGAAAAGTAAGAATAATAAAAAATTGTTTATAAAAATTTTCATCACAAAAAATTATCTACAATACAAAAGAGGTGTACAGATTTTATTTAATGAACATAAAAAAAAACATGATTCTAATAGATAGAAAAAGTTATTTGTTTATAAAGAGAGTTTTTTATCTTATTATAATTTTATGTTTTATACATTGTTTTGGTATTTATTTCTATTAAATTATACCCTTGATATAATTTAATAGTAGATATCATGAATTATTTTTAAAATATTAACATTTATTTCAAGTATAAATTATACTCCTCCTAATTAATTTTCTATATCACTGTTCAGAACTCATTTGCCTCAACTCTCAGACTATACAAGAACTGAATATATGATTGACAATAACTCCGGCGCTCATCATACTGAATTTCAAGAAAGAATTGAGCTTGTGTACTCAAGTAGCATGACAAAGTGGTGGCTTATGTCTCACAGCAGTTGAAACATTTTGAGAAGAACAACCCGTATGCTAATGATTTAGATTAGCGATAAGTTCCACTTTGAAAATTTAGGGGCATTGTCTTTATAGTGGCTGTGAGTTTGTTTCTTTAGCCCAATATGTTTCTTTGGTTCCTCATTATCTTCTTTCATAAGAACTTGCAAGAACATCGCCCACTTTTATCTCATCAAAGTACACGATTTACTAGAGATCAATCTGTTGAAGAACAACACCCACTTCTGCCTCTTCATTATCTCCAACACAAACAAGCCAAAAAAAAAAAAATTTGAGCCAAAAGTTTTCTGCAATTTATTTCAGATTTTGCTATAGAAGCAATATCCATCCAGAGTTTTAACTCTTGATAACAACAAACCATACAAGATTAATGTACATATGGTTAAGAAGTCCCTTTACTACGTTGCCCCTTCACTATATAGGAACAAATCCTCAAAAATTGAAATCCATCCATTTTGTACAACATAAAATCTCAGGAGAATGACAAGCAAGGACCTCGTAAAAATATTAATGTCAAATTAAAATTTCTTCAATACTAACATTTCCAAATTCAGTATTCCTTTTTTGCATGTTTCAGTGTTAAAATTCTTGATTTGGCATTAATTTTCTCATAAGGTTCTTGCTTGGCATTATCTGCTCTTGCTTCTTCTAATGAGTTCAAGTGAGAGGCTTGTGTTCCAAGATGGCCAATAGCGCCACACGAAATATCTTTTTATTCTTCGAGCGCATGCGCATCCCAATGATTTTCTTCAGAAGCTGCAAATTTACATTCCCGCCAAAATATAATATTGATATATGTTGTCATAAGAAACTACGTACTGAATTTAAACTATATGAAAAACACTATCGGTCTTACGCTTTTCGTTTTCCAAACATAAATAGTTATTTCTTTTCACTGCAAATATTTGCCTCTTCATATTCAAAGCTAATCACCCATCATGCCATTAATTATACACCCACACTTGCAATACTCTAAAATGGGGACATAAAAGTTCTTTGTTCCCATGAACAGGAGGTTTTGTTAAATAAGTAACCCTATCTCTCTAAGAAATCCATATATTTCCTCTGATCTTGTGTATAAGTCACTTTTAAGTTTTAACTATATCATTATAATCAATGAAAAGTAGTTAAGTTGTTAATGTTGTTTTAAAAAGAAGGGTTTAAGGATAATTTGGCCTTTAAACTATAGTTCCAAAAGCCTTTAGGATTTTAAACATTTTTTTGTGCAATGTTCTTCCCTTAACTTTTAAAATGATGTAATGTAATCATTACCACTAATGAAAGTTAATTAACCAAAGGGTGACAGAAAATGACCAATAAAATTACAAAAACAGACCCAAAAATTACAAATGAGACCAAAAATTACAAAAAGTACCAAGATTGAGATGGTAAAATAATTTAAATTTATTAAATATGTCATCTTTAAAAATAATTTCTCTCTCATATGTAATATTTTGCTCTTCTCAAAAAAAATTGAGAGGGTAAAATTGGAATAAATTAATTAATGACATTTTTATACAAAATAATTTATAAAAAAGACTACTAGATATTAGATATGTATATAGTATGTTGATATATCATCATTTGAACTTCAGATTTTATCCACATATTAGGTTCCCAATATAACGGAATAGGCTTCCTTCTGTTGTAATGGATGGAACTTTGCATATCTGAACTATTAGATTAGATTTGATAGATTTTAAAAGTATAAATTAATATGTATCATTAAAATTTCAGATGAATAGTTTAGATTTGCAATAGAGGAAGGAAAATGCAGTAAAGAAAAATCAAGTCCTAATATCACACTTTGAAAGGCTCACCAATCAACATGCTTGTTTAATTTAAGTCATAAATTACAGCTAGAACAATCTGCAACAACAACAACAACAACAACAACTAGCCTTTATCCCACTAGGTGGGGTCGGCTAGATGGATTGCAAGACGCCATTGTGCTCTATCATTTATCAAGCTTTTAGGAATATTATTAATTAAGAGATCGCGTTCAACAACTTCCAAGAGTGTTCTCTTAGGCCTTCCTCTACCTCTCTTAATCGGACTCAAAGTTATATGTTCAACTATTCTCACTGGTGCCTCCCTTGGTCTTCTTTGTACATACCCAAACCATCTCAACCGATTTTCTACCATTTTTTCCTCAATAGGTGCCACCCTCACTTTTTCGCGTACGTGCTCATTTCGAATTTTATCTTTACGTGTATGTCCGCACATCCATCGTAACATTCTCATCTCTGCTACTCCAACTTTATGCTCTTGCTGTCCCGTTAGAGCCCAGCATTTACTACTATATAACATTGCCAGTCTGATGGCAGTGCGATAAAACTTTCCTTTAAGTTTATTAGGCACCTTACGGTTGCAAAAAACTCCTTTAGCTTTTCTCCAATTAAACTACCCAGCTTGAATTCTATGTGAAATATCTCCACTGATTTCGCCATCATTTTGAATAATGGCTCCCAAATATCTAAATTTTTCCACTTGAGGTATAATTTGATCTCCCAATTCACTTCAAATTATTGTCGAATAGTCCGTTACCAAATTTACAATATAAATATTCCATCTTACTTCTACTCAGACGAAAACCTTTCGACTCCAATGTCCTCCTCCATAACTCAAGTTTGCAATTAACCTCTTCTCTTGTTTCTGCATAAGAACTATATCATCCGCGAAGAGCATACATTTCGAAATTCCTCTTGAATATGTTCCGTCAAAACATTTAAGATCAAGTTGAACAAATAAGGACTCAGAAATGATCCCTGATGTAGTCCAATCTTTATAGGAAAAATTCTTTGTTTGACCATTAGGCATTTTTATACTAGTTTTTACCCCCTCATACATATCTTGTATGACTTTAATATAAGCAATCCTTACTCTCTTTTTTAGCTAGAACAATCTACATTCTATCAAATTCAAAAGCAACGAAATTTTATGTTAAGGCTATATAAAACAATCAACTTTACTATGAACAAATAATTTGGTCATCAACAAAAAAATCTTAGTAAAGTAAAATGAGAAAAGAAAAAAAATCCATGCTCTAAAAAATATGGAATGCATGATTGAAATTAAAGACTTACTCTCAGATGAAAGCTCGTTGGGCAAAAGATCTGGTTGGATTCTGAGTTCTCTGAATCCCTCCACTTTCATTCCGCAAATCCCATTATCAAATCCTACTTGAGAAAATGACACTGATCAGCTTTACAATCAATGAAGTTAAATCGTTCATATAATCTGGACCCTATTATAAGTTTACTTCTAATTACGTCAACGAAATCAACAAAAGATAATTAAGTTATTAACTTTATCTAAAAATAAGATAAACTTTCAATTTTAGCCCTGTTTTAAATGAAAAGGATTAAAATTTATACTACATTTTCTCTCATTGTTAATGGGTTTAAAATAGGAGTAATGTTAAAAACTTGATCGATATCCCACAATATAACTTATAGTAAAAATAAAAAAAATGCTTCTAAAAGGCATCCTATAATAGAGATCAAAGGAAGTAGTAAGTATTTGTAACATGTATTTTTCGTAAAATAAATTTCATTAGTTATTTTTACTGTTATATTAAAAGTTTGAATGTGAAATGAGTCATGTTATATATAGTAGTGAATGTTAGACTTTAAAAGGACAACAAGAGCATAATTGAAGTAGAAAATATGTTAATGTATGCTGAGATGGATATACAGGCATGCATGACAAGATAAAATTTGAAATGACCATGCACAAGAAAGTGGGCATGACATTTATTGAGGAAAAGATGACAAAAAATTATTTGAGATATTTTGAACATGTACCAAAGAAAACTATGGGAGACACCAGTAGGAAAGTTAATAGATAGTTTTTAGTCCTATAAAAAGAGGTAGAGGAAGATTAAAGAGAAAATTCATGAAAATTATTAAACAAGACTTCTTGTTAACAATATTCCCAAAGACTTTATTGATGATAGAGTACAATGGTGTCATGCATGCAATTCATGTATCCAACTCACCTGTTGGGATAACTCTTGTTTTAATGTAGTAGTAATAAAAATGAATCAATATAATAGTTTAAAAAAATGTTATATTCAAATAAATTAATTCTTCACAATCAAAGACAATAACATAATAATAAAAAATTCTTACCTCGACCATATTGCTTCTTCCCCAAAGTCAGAACAGAGGGCCCTTTTCAAATTCAACACCACCACTCTCACTTAGATGTTGAAACTTGATTCTTACCTATATAATTCAATAACATTCACATTACATAAAACTGAAATTGAGCAAAAATAGTATTATCAGAACTTCATGTTAATTTATATCTACCCGTGGAGAGAGTAACAAATTGGCAACTGAGCAACCAAGAATAAAGGAAAAATGTCTGAAAAAAACACACCACACACACGGAGAATATTACCTGATCCCCTTCTTTGGCAACTTGATTACCCAAGCCGTACACGATCTCATAGGATTCAATCATTGATTTGTCATTAATAACTTGTTTATCACTAGCATCCTCTAATTTATTGTTTTCACCTACATATAAGTGCTAAAAAAGCATAAATCATAAGTTATGACCGGTGGCCACCACCGCCATGGTGGCACCGCCAACAACAGCAACAACAATAACAAGAAAATTCATACCTTGGTGTTGCATATGTTGAGTTCCTGAGGCAATACTGAAGGGTTTATTTCAGACATCCTCGACTTCTCCACACTTACGTACTGTAGAGTTATACTTGATTGATTATAATTAACTTCAATTTCAAATAAAATTAAAATCTGATAAAAAAAATAATCAATGATTATTGATAGAAATTTATAAATTTATTGATCATTTTATTGGTTATGTTAATTAAAATATATAGCAAAATAAGTAATTTCAATTATACATTAATAATAAAAATAAAGGGCTGAAAATGAAAAACCCATTCCTAAACTTTTTGTCCAACAACACTGGATGTCTTGTAATAAATGTTGGGGGTAATATTTCGCTTAAACAATTTTCTTAAAGGAACAATATTGCCCAACCATTAAATATCTGTTCATTTAATTTGACAATTCACTAAATCAAGCCGTTCTTTAACATTGGCAAGACCCTTCTCATATTTGACTATGAAAAATGAGGTCCACACCCGTTTAATTTCCAGTAGTTCAGCTAAAGTAAGACAATTTTTAAATCAGCCATTCCACTAGATCCTGGGTTGAGACTTAGTTTATCTTTTGGATTTAAAACCTGATTAAAGTCACCTAAAAGTAGCCAAGGACAATTGATTGAACTGGAAGTATTAATGATCCAGTTCCAAAGAAGGTGTCTGTCTACAAGCCTAGGCGGTCCGTACACAAAAGTAATATATTTTCCATTAATATCATCATTGTAGCGCATTAATACATGAGTAACACAGAAGGGCTACATTCGAGGATTTGAACATCAAGGCAATTATTCCAGGCAACTATAGTGCCTCCCTTCCTAACGGCATCTAGCCCAACAAAGTTCATAAACCCAAACCAGATAATAAACCACCAGCCACAGTAAGTTCCACTTTAGTTTCAGATAGGTAAATCAAATCAGGACTAAAGGATGAAACTAACTGCCTAATCCTTTGAACTGCCGTAGCTTTACACAAGCCACGATAGTTCCAGCACAAAAACCTCATGGTGCCTTGGGAAGCTTTATAAAGGCAGCTTCCCTAGCCTCTTCAAAAATAGAAAGATGTTCAGATAGGGCAAGGCATCATGAAATGGAATTACAGACTCATCTATGAACTGATCAGAAGCAGCTAATGCATTATCCTGTTCCAGAGAAGGAGGTAATGCAGCATGGAGGGGTGATGGCGTCCGAGAAGAAGATAAGCCAACGAGGACTTTCCAAAAGCGCAGATGGGGTAAAAGCAAAGCCATCAATGAGAGCATTGCATGAAAGAAACACCTGCTCAAAGGAATCAAAATTCAAAGGAAGAAGGTTCCAACTATAATGCTTATCGTTCAAACTCTAAATAAACAATCCAAAACCATTCTTGGACCACCCATAGTTCTCGCAATTATTTCTCGAGCTATTAATCACTTCTGAGGGCAATGGGGATTTGTTGTTGAGTTGAAACCATTTAAATTTCCTGATGAACTCAGGATCAAAGGAGGGTGGAGTGAAGACATTTGAAGCGTCTAGAGGCATTTCAGCTCTTTTTTACCAATAATGGAGAAGATCCTTCTGGAGAACTCGTCAAATTTCGATTCGAATGAGTCTAGCTATCATTCAGTCTCCATTTTTTTATGTATCTTAGACCTAAAGGAGACAATGAAGCCAGAGTGATGGTGAGGAGATGCATCCGGGCAAGTCAGACTGTCAGCAAAGGCGATATTTATAGGAGGAGGAGATAAAGCCACCTGATGAGCATCTTCTTCTGCTTTCCTCTTCCTTTAATGTCCTTCATGGTTGGGGAGGGTTACAAAGGGTTCCTTTCATCCGAGAAAACAGGCAGATGAATAGATGAAGGAGCAACAGATGGATTAGTCGGAAAAATTACCTTCCTTGATTGAGATCCCTGAATTCATAAACTTATTGAGGAAGGAGCCATACTGATCATGAATAGCAATAACATCCTCATCTAGCATATTATTCACCATTTCATTGATTTGGGTCCAATCATTAGGAGGGACTGGAGAAGGAAAAGGGTGATTGCCCTGCTGTGGAAACTCAGGACTAGCCCTGTTATAGAAAACCTGGGTGATTAGAGTCAGAAGAGTCCTCATCATCCAGAGTGGAAGAGAAAGTGATTCGGGCCCGCATCACTGATGAGGATATTTTCTGGCGAGGTTTCATAGACTCTATACCCAGTTCTGCCATGATGGGAAAACCGGATTCAAGTAGTGTTTGTGTTCCTGTTATTCCTGATCCATTCTTGCCATTCTCTGGCTAAGGGCCCAGAATCAAAGAGACATTGAACGTGATAGCCAAATCTTCTTATAGTTCTGTCACAAACCAAGTTAAAGCCGCTAAAAGACTGATGCACAGATGTTGAACATTCTTGCTGCGTGTGACCAATAATCCGATAGAAATGACAGTGCCTGAAAATTCTTTCATAAATACATTCCACATCAAAAGTTACCCCAAATTCAAGAGTTACCTTGATAGATTGAATCAGGGGTAATCAGGGATTAATCAACACACGGGCATGAAGAAAGTTGAGGGAGCTCGAACAATCTGAATGATCTTGAACAAGCACTGTTTGGCCTACTATGTCTCCTAGAGTATTAGCCACCATTTCATTGTGATACCCAAGAGGAAAGTCCCCAAATTGGACCCAGACAGGGATATATCCCATAACTATCTCCCTCAGAACATATTGGGATACCAACGATCAGCAACCAACAAAGAGTTATTAATGGACCAGGGCCCATTGTCTACAACAAGTCTCGATCTTCCGGGTTGTTGAAGCTTACAAGGAAAAAACAGCCAATCCTCCCTTCTATTCTAAAGTTGTCTTGAAGAATCCAAGCCCTTCTAAGCTTCCTTGCCAAAGATCTTAGCGAGTAAATGTAAGCATCCAAATAACCACAATAGCACAAGAGGTCAGAAAGAAACTTGGCCTAGCAAGAGCGTGAGGTCGGAAGCACAATGAGGGTGAAAAAAAAAATGCGATCCATCAGAGAAGGAATAAATAAGCCAGGGGAAGAAGAGATCATAAGGGGGGAAAAAAAAGGAGAGACCTTGACAAGAAAATTGGGAGAAACACCGGAGATAAGTGCAAAGGCAAGAAAGCATAAGAAGGGAATGTGGAGGATAGGTACTCTATCCCCTTTAAATAGAATGGAAAGCATATCCGGAATGTGAAAAACGGCTCAATGCAGAGAGGGATTAGGGAAGGCAATCAAAAACCACTAAAGCAAGCAACTTCTCTAGATTGGCTAGTGGAAGCACGGGTTGCGCAGGTGAAAAAGATGAAACTAGGAACAGTAGAAGCTCTAGAGGGAATGAGTAGAAAGACTTGATTCCCAAGAGAGAAAAACAAAGAATGATTGGAGAAGAAAGGCACTATCAGATATGCTAGAACAGCCGCATTAACAATAGCCAAGGAGAACCATAGACAGAGAAGAGAAAGAGAAGAGAAGAGGCAAGAGGCATGAGGATTATTAAGGCTAGAACTTGAAGGAAAAAGCCAGAAGAAAAAAGAGCAGGTAGACACAGAAAGGAGTTAGCAATTAAACCTACAGTGCGAGGGATGCAGAAGAACGGAAGGGACACACACGGAAGAAAGCTTCTCATAGAGAAGTTTGAGATTCTCTCACTAGGAGAGTTCGATACTTCGTTTTTCCATCACGGTCAAATACTGTAGGTACTTTTTTTAATTAAAATTTAAATATTAATTCATCATCTTATGAAAAAACTAACTAATTTTAAAAGGGGCACCTCACTTTCATTTTTTCCAACTAAATAGAAAACCTTTATATTCTCTCCAATCAAAGCAAACCTTGACCTTTCTCCAGAAAATCTTCAAAACAAAATCATATGTTCATAAAACCATAAAAAATGATGAGATGAAAAAGTTGAAAAAAAAAAAAAAGAAAAAAAGTTTTTCCCAGATCCTGCCTCGATGCGTCAGATTTGCTTCATCTATCTTATACATTTCACATGCCCTTGAATCTTCTCACTCCACTCTAAAGTCCTGTTTGGTTATTTTGAAGGAAGTCAGATTGAAAATGAAACTGAAATAAAAATAAAAATAAATTTAAAGTATGTTTGACATATCACCAAAAAATGTGCCATTTGCACTTTAAAAAATTTCTGACAATTAACTACAGAAATAACTGGATATATAAAAATTGACTTTAACTAAATGAAAGAAATTTAGTGTGCGTTTGTTTTTAATTTGTTAAAAATTCATTTGGGAAAGTCAATATAGTAAAAGTCAGTTGTTGTTGTAACGAAATTTGTATTTGAATATATTTTCAAAAGTCAGTTTGATACATTAAAAGTTGTTTGGTTTATAATAGTGAAATGTATTTTGAATGTACAATTATCAAAAAGGATATTGATTTATAATGATTTATAATTTTTATTATACAAATGTAATATATTTAAAATATTTAAAAAATGTAATAAAATATTTTAAATAACATAAATTTTGATCTATAATACTAAAAATTTGATTTCTAGTTATTTGTATTTTTTAATTTGTAGTTTTTAAAAGATGTAAGAAAGATTTGTAATTTTTATTATACATTAATGTTAAAAATAACATGATTAATTATTAAATTTATAATATTAAAAAAATTAATATCTAATTATTATTATTAATAATACTATTTTTAATGACTTAACTATTTTTTAAATAAAGAATAAGAAATTAAACTTAGGGTATATAATTAAATAACATCTTACTTTTTAAATTCACTTTCAAAAGTTTTAAATAATTAGTTTTTAAAAATTTATTTTTAGCTACTATTTAATGTAGCTTTTTTGTAAAATATTCTACACAAACAACTTTCAACTTTTTGAAAGTAAAATTTTACTAATGTTTGGAGGAAAATTACCCTTAAGTTTCTTGATATAGGAGATAACTGAATCACAGGCCTGCCGTTGGTTTATCAGATTCATAGTGGAAAATGAGTTGATGGAAAATGAGGACGACGACGTTTAATTAATTTAGCAAAGAGGAAGAGAATCTATGAATTTATCCTCAATGATGATGTCGAATTAAAACAAGTCTTGATGAACATCATATATGAACAAATTAAAAGAGAAGCATGAGAAATTGTTGGATGAAATTAAACCAAAATGGATATATGACAAGAGATTAAGAAACAAACTATGTTGATTGAACTTGGAAATCGATGAAGGATGAAAGAGATCATCGTACCTTGTGATCTTCGCCGCCACAGACGAGGGAAGCCGATTTGCTGAGTCTGAATTCGAAACGGTTCCTTCCTGGCAGATGTTCGATGAGCTTAGAGGAACAAAGTACCAAGAACAACCCAAATGAAAAGGTTTTGAAACTTAAGAATTAAAATCTTTTATTTTAATAAAGAGAAAAGACAATAACATCCTTCCAAAGTTGTTTAAAATTACGGAAACTTGTTTATATATTTTCAAAATTTATATTTTAGTTGTTGGTAAAAAAAAATTATATTCAAGTCCATTTCTTAAAGCGGTTAAAAAATATTCTATTTAAAAATCTTAAATTTTTTATTTTATTAATTAAAATCTGTGAAAAATTAAAATTATGTCGACGAATAAAGTACCGTCGCGACCAACCAAAATACAAATAATCAACAAAGTTCCACCTAAAAAATATTTTAATATTCACATGATTTTAAAAATTATCAGGTATTTAGTCACCTCTCATTTGTAGACTACCCAATAAAATTATAGGTTAAAAATTTATTTTTATCCTTAAACTTTTTATTAAGAGTGTTAGGCATTTTGTATTAATAAATGAGATAATTTTTTTCTTGAATTATTTTGTTGAGAAGCAAAAATACTGTTGCCCCTTTACTTTATTTTTAGAAGTACGAGATACCTTAAAAAACTTATTAAAATAAAATTTAATAAATATTATTAAAATATTAAATATTGTAATATTTAATAATTTAAATATTATTATTTATAAATTATTTACCAAAATTTATCAATTATTTTTAAAATTTTAGAAAATAAAACTAGTCTTTCAAAAATTTATAAATGACTTATAAATTGTATTTAAAGATTTGTAAATAATAATAATAATAATAATAATAATAATAATATAATATTTACAAAAAAATTATACAAAATGATCTTATAAAAAAATTAATATTAATTAAGTTTCTTAATGTTTTTTATGTTTTTCTATGAAATAACAATAATATTTAATAATATTTATTAAATATTATTTTAATATGATTTCGAACACCTCATTTGTGCAATGTTCAATGGAATCATGGCACCACATGTTATTTTTACCATGGGGAGAGTGGCGATTGTAGGCTTGTGAAGACAGATATTTGCTGATCTACAGGCACGGCAGATTCTCATAACCTTCTGCAGGTCCGACCGTCCGAAGATATCATAAGCAATTATCTTTTAAACAGAAACGACGAAACTATATTTAATAAATGAAGAGGCATCAAGTGTAAATACTAAATATGCATGGACTCATGAAAACAAGCAAACTTTTGCTATAAATAATTGGAATTTTGTTGTTATTTATAGAATTTTTGTTATTATTTTTTCGGTTAACTTTATTTTCTTCTCAAGCACAAACGTAAAACTACATGAAAAATTGTGAATAAGATGATTTTTTATTATAAATGATATGACTTTTTCTGTTATTTATGGATTTTCTGTTGTTAATTTTTTTTTGTTAACTAGTAAATTTTTTCTTCAAGTATAAGTGTGCATTCACATGAACTTTTTCGAATAAACAAACTTCTTGTGTAAATAATTAAATTTTCTTGTTATTTGCAAACCTTCTATTGTTAATTTTATTTGGTTAATTTATAAATTTTTTCATGAAGTAAAGTGTAAACTGTAACATCCCAAAATTTTAAAATAAATTTAATTAAATTAATTGAAGATTAAATTTTTTTTTTAACATAGCTCCTAGTTGGATCAATTAGAGTGATTGGATAGCCTTTGGATTCACTAGATCCTATTTGGGACTTAGGAGGGGATTAGAGGAGCCATTGGGATATTTTGAGTTCAAATAAATGGGTTTGAGTTAATGCACCCAAACTGTCATTTGCCATAGTGGATATATTGAATTTTTAAATCCGAGTTCTATTTCTCGGATTAAAATAGAAGAAAGATTTTTGAGAGACCAAAAGGAGACGAGAAGTGCTCTTGTAGGGCTTTGTTTTAGCTGCCATTAAGAGTGTGTTTGAGCTTCCAAATCAATTGGTAAGCTCTCTTTTCCCTTCTCCTACCTCTCTATGCATTTTTCTTCTAGTTGTTGGACATGGGGAGATAATGTCTGAATCTAAAGTTAGTCTTTAGCTACTCTATTGATTTCAATGGAGTCTAATAAGGATTATTTAAGTTTATAATATTTGGTATTTCTTAATGGCAATGGTTAATGTCATTAATTATGGGTTTAGAGTTAACTCTAACACTATTCAACCTATATATAGTAAGCTAATGAAGCAAGTCAATAGTAATTATTAAACTTAATGTGGGTCAAATAAGTTAACGGAAGTGAAAAATGAGGTTGGTTTGATTTATTAAACACACTTAATGATGGATTAAGGCCTTAATTATGATTTTAATTAATGATGATTAATGGTTTGCTAACCATTCATTGTATATTGATTGTTCTTGCAGTTAATTAAGATGCGCAGCGTACATTGTAAAGTCTCTTGTAGTTTTGCTTCTATGTAATTGAGTTTCATATTTTCCAACATTAGGGTATTCATATTGTTAGACTATATTTCATTGTATGGCCCATCATAGACTAGGGCAGCTTTTGTTATTGGCGTCCATGATGCTTTTGCAAATGAGGCTTATCATGCAAGTGTATTTTTAATGATTGATGTTTAACTAATTTTGTCATGTTGAGTGGTTAAGCATGCTCAGTGTATTTGTGGTTCATATTAACTGTGGTTGTTATGGCTAAGGGTTAAGTTTTGGGTTATAGCACTTAATTAATTGATTGGCATGGTAATAACCCCAAGTGTCCATAATTTCCATGTGATAACAGTTTGAAAGAGTCCAGAGCCATTAACTAGTAGTCTATTTAATTTTTTACTTGTAGACACTTTGATCATTTTAATTAAAAGTCTGGGTAGAAAGTTAGGCATTTAAAAGTTGGATTTGGAAGCTAATTTTTCAGCTGTGCTATTATTACTTATGTGCTGTGACAAAAGTTGTCAAGTGTGTTGGTCTCGGCAGATAGATCTTTTGGCCACGGTGAATAGCTTCTACACCATGAGTCATAGTGGATGTTGTCTTGACCACAGTGGATGGTATTGTTTTTGCAAAAATGACTCTTTTGACCCTATTTTTACTAGTTTTAATATTCAAACTAATTTCCTTACTTCTGTAACTATTTGTACTCTAATTTTAAGCACTTTAAAGGGCTTTAACTACTTGTTCCAAGCTTTAAGTCATTTTAGAACCTCATTTACTTAAAAGTATTTTAAAATAAGCTTTTTGAAATTTCAAATAGTCAATGTTAATTCTAATTTCATTGGGTACGTTTCTTAATGTCTTTAATTGTTTTAAGTGATGTAGTTAATATCGGATGACATTACATTAACCCATGTGGATTCTTGTGAATGAACAGACTCTTTGTTGAAAATAATTAGATTTTTTATTGTCTATGGATCTACTATCGTTCACTTCCTTTTTTTTTTTAACATACAAAGCACAAATTGTTCTCGCTTATTAAAAGTATTCGATTTTTTAACTTTGAAGACAATTACACATGAGACCTTTCCCGCAAAGAATTATCAAAATTTATTTTACCAAAAAAAAAAATTTATTGGCATGCAAAACAAACATCTTTCTTCTCAAGGCACACATATATATAAAACTATATATACACATACCATCTCTTAAAAAATATAAAATATTTTTTATTAAATCTCACTCTGAATAAAGAAGTTACTTGTCTTCAAACTAATCTCATCTTTTTATAATTACCCCTATTTAATAGGGATATTTCACCTTAAAATAAATATAAAATGATTTATTCAATATGAGTATTTTTGAAAAAAAAAAGAGAGAGGCAATTATTACATCTTAAAGAACTTAAAAATGTCTTAATATCTAACCTCTTAAAAAATATTTTATATTTTTTAATAAAGAGAGCTTATATATGTGTGCGCACGTCCTTTTATTTTTATCCATATGTGAGCTTACATTGTTACACCATATTCCTCTCTCTGCCCCTCTTATTTTAATAGCGTTTGTTTAGAAATATATGCTGTTTTTATTTCTTATATTCTTTCTCATTCATAGTCATAACCCTCCATCTTTGTACGTCACGGGTAGAGAAAGACTCCCCCCCCCCCCCCCTTTTGAGCAAGGGGTAGAGAAAGACTTAAACATGGATATTATAAATAAATTTGGGGTAAGATGCATGACTATTTCTATTATTTAGTATATTGGCCGATCAGAGACAGGGACGGCCACCCTCCCCACAGTTTTTCACTCCATTTATTAATTGTTAATGTTAATTGTTAATTTATACATGCTTATATCATAAGTTTGTGTCAATTATTAATTTTGTCTATGTGTGTGTTTTATTATATATAAAGTTTAATATTGATTAATTAAATTTTTAAAAAGTGTTATTATACATATACAATTATTTCTTTTGAAATTATTTTCTATCTAAACCATAAAGACTAATTACGTATAAGGATAATGAAATTTTTAGTACCCAAGCGTATCTTAATTATTGATGTGGTCACCTAATTAGTTTAATTTTTATCAATTTAATTCTTATTATTTAAAGATGATATAATACTTTTAAAATGTACTGACATTAATAAGAGAATATTCATAACAACCATGAAGATCAATGAAAAGAAGTTTTATTTTGTTTGGTAGAAAAAGTATAATTATTTATGTACAAAAAAACAACATAATTTTTTTAAAAAAAAGAACACTGAAGCACAACATAAGTGCTAGATTAATAAAAATTAAACTAATTTAACGGATATTCTATTCTCATTTATTTGCATAGATATGATAAGTAGTAATATGCTTTACGTATTACATAATTTGTGTTTTTAACACTTAAAAGACTAATGTGATAATTTAAAAAAAAATAAAAAGGACAAAATTGAAAAAAATTAAAATTGAGAGACCAAATCAATACTTGTTTAATGGATTGAAAGTTTTATTATTTATTATGTATAATTATAAAAGTTTAAAATTTTGATTGATGAAAATTAAATTTTAATGATCAAATGGATTCTTAAGGCAAACTTGAAATCTAAAAATTTATTATTCATATATTGAAATTAGAGCCGATAATTTTGACAAAGTCCAA